GGGAGCAAGGATGCTTGGATTCAGCTCGCTTATCCCACGTCAGCAAGGGACCGTCTACTGATATCCCACGTCTCCCCGCCCCCCTTCTCCCACCCCTTCCACCTACCGCCCATTTGGGCAGCAGTGCAACCATGGCGGGGGAGAGACTCCTATAGCGCCCCCTCTGCCCCTCCGGGCGCTCATAGCCCTCCCCCCCCTTTCACCTACAGTGCAGTTGGCCAGCAGAGCCACCACGGTGGGGGACAGACAGCCCCCTGTAGAGCCCTCTCAGCCCCTCCGCGCGCCAAATCGTCTGCAGCGTAGTTTTGAGGCGCCTCAAAATATAAAATCCGCGTGATAGGAGTCTATTTTTGAGGCGCCTCAAAAGCAGAGTCACCATGGTGGGGGACAGACAGCCCCCTACAGAGCCCTCTCAGCCCCTCCGCGCACCAAATCGTCTGCAGCGACCCCGCTATCACTCCCATGCGCTCCTAGCCCCTCCCACCTCCCCAACTTTCCCCATCCCAACCCCAAACCCACCCTCCCCCATACGTACCGCCCAGTTTGGCAGCAGAGCCACCATTGTTGGCGACAGCCCCCTATAGAGCCCCCGTAGCCCCTCCGTGCGCCAGATCGTCTGCAGCGACCCCGCTATCACGCCCATGCGCCACCGCCCCGCCGCTGCTGCCCTCACCCCCGCCCCCGCCCCCGCCCCCGCCCCCGCCCCCGCGCCCACCCCCGCCCCCGGCCCCCCTGATGTCCCCGCTGCTCCCCCTGCCCCTGCTGCGGCTGCTGCTGCTGAGGCGGACGGGGGAGTGGCGAGGACAGTCGCTATCCTGGCAAACGGCAGGGAGGAGTTAGACGCTGCAGCTGGTGGTGCCCTTGCTGCTGCTGCTGCCCCCCCTGTTGCTACTGGCCCTCCTGCCGATCCTCCCGCACCTGCAGTCGAGCGTAGCGCAGCAGCTGCTGCTGACGTGGAGGCTTGGTGAGCGCCCAGCACTTGCAGGCGGGTTTTGACCACGTCAAGGGGCGCTACAAACGTCGCGGCTACAGCTCCTGGCGTTAGTGGAAGAATGGAAGGGAGGCGGGGGCGGGGGGAGGAGGGGGAGGAAGGGGGAGGGGGGGAAGGGGGGAGAGGGGGGAGGGGGGAGGGGGGGGGGGGGAAGGAGGGGGATGGGAATAGGAAAGGTCAGGGCTACAAACATGGCGGCTGCAGCTCCTGGGGAAGCAGCAGGCAAAATGGCGATGAAGAGTGAAGCGCAGAGAGGGAGGAGGCAACTCAGCCCCGGTGTATTTAGAGTCAACTCAAATACACCTCTACAAACGTGGCGGCTGCAGCTCCTGGGGAAGCAGCGGGCAAAATGGCAATGGAGATTGAACCGCTGAGAGGGAGGAGGCAACTCAGCCAAGCCTTCTCCCTGTGCTTTAGCGTCTTACCTCTCTCCCTTCCAGTACACCCATCTATTTTTGAGGTGTAACACCCAACGTTTACACCCTCAAAAATAGACTCCTGCGCTTTAGCGTTTTACCTCTCCCTTCCGGTACACCCATCATCCCACTAACCCCTGTCCGCGCCTGTGCCTGCGCCAGCCATGCCGCCGAAGAGCTTCGACCGCTCATTGTCCCGCAACGCCGCCCCCCCTCCCACACCCCGTCTTCAACCCGCCCCCTGCTTTTGAGGCGCCTCAAAAGTGCTTCTCTTTCCCCGTTCTTTCCGCTCACCCCTTTCCTCACCTGCGCCAGCGCCAGCCATGCCACTGAAAGCCCCTCCTCACTCACCCCATCCCCTCCCCCCTTCCCCTTCCCCCTCTCCTCACCTGCGCCAGCGCCAGCCATGCTACTGAAAGCTTCTCCTCACTCGCCCCAATCCCTCCCCCCTTCCCCCTCTCCTCACCTGCGCCAGCGCTAGCCATGCCGCTGAAAGCTTCTCCTCACTCGCCCCAATCCCTCCCCCCTTCCCCCTCTCCTCACCCGCGCCAGCGCCAGCCATGCCGCTGAACAGCTCAAACCGCTGCTCTTCCCGCAACTCCGCCACCAACGCTTCTCCCGTTCCCCCAAGTCATTCACGTCTTGACCCTCCCCCCTAACCCCCCCTAACCCCCCCTAACCCCCCCTAACCCCTCCCCCCCTCCCCCTATTTTCCCCCTTACACCCCCACCCCCCTCTATTTTTGAGGCGCCTCAAAAATAGACCCCTTACACCCCCACCCCCCTCTCCCGCATTTCTTTAACCTATCCTCACCTGCGCCAGCGCCAGCCATGCCGCTGAACAGCTTCGACCGCTGCTCCTCCGGCAGATCCGCCATACCTCTCACCCTGCATCCCTTTTGACCCCCTGATTCCCATTCCCATTCCCATTCCCATTCCCATTCCCATTCCCCTTCCTCCCTTCCCCCTCCTTTCCCTTCCCCCTCCTCCCCTTTCCCTTCAATCCTTTCTCACCTGCGCCAGCGCCAGCCATCCGCTGAACAGCTCCAACCGCTGCTCTTCCCGCAACTCCGCCATCAACGATTCTCCCGCTCCCCCAAGTCCTTTACGTCTTATACCTCCCCCCTAACCCCCCCTAACCCCCCCCCCCCCCCCCTTCCTTTCTCCCGCATTTCTTAAACCTTTCCTCACCTGCGCCAGCGCCAGCCATGCCGCTGAACAGCTTCGACCGCTGCTCCTCCGGCAGCTCCGCCATCCATTTCTTCACGCGCCTACCGCTTTCCCCCTCCCTTCGCCCCTCCCTTCCCCCCTCCCTTCCCCCCTCCCTTCCCCCCTCCCTTCCCCCCTCACTTCCCCCCTCACTTCCCCCCTCCCCACCGCCTCGCGCCGTGGACGCCAGATCTCCGCCGTTCAATCGAATTCCACCAGCCGTCCGATCTTCCAGCGCCGCGGAGATCGACCTTCTGACCTTCAGATCCTCGCTGGCGGAATCTAAGCGATTCTATGTAAGGTAATAGCCGTTACGGCGCTTAGACAACATATAAGGATCGCGACGAATGAACCGAGTTAGAAGAGCTGTGCGATCGCAGCTTAGCCTACATACACAATCGCTGAGTTAATCTTCGACAAGGCACTTTCCAGTAACGAGCTGTAACTTATTCTCCGCGGTCGGTCTTTGCTCTTCGCCTTTCGCCCATATCAAGTGCGTTGGTGTCGCGAGTTGGCGAAGCTATACCTTCAGGGAAAAGATAGCCGTTTATTATTCTCAGATGGAGATGGAAGGCTAGTAAACAATCAGGACAGGTCAGTCATCGAGGCGGGATCCTGCAGGTATCCCTAGGTCGGTAAAGAGACCTATCTTGTAGAGAAGAGACCTAATACTCTAACCTGATCTGGAGGAAAGGTAAGAATCAGATCAGGGTTGTGAGAAGCAACACTCGAGTGGATTGCTTCTGCTCCTGCTGCTGCGTTCTGTTCTGTTGTGTGTGAGTGAGATTCGAACTGGTGGCCATGGTCAGGTACGCGAGCCTGAGCTCGAGGCTCGCCGAGTCCATACGTCCAGTAACTATGGTTCGGAAATCGCCGAGGCTGTTTCCTCACTTGGGCTGTCGCCATCAAGCTGGAGTTTTGGGGCAAGATCAGCCGCACTCACATTATGCCAGAAGGAAATCATTTTGGCTCACTCACGTGACATTCATTTCCGGGCAATAAAAAAATACAAACCCCAGGGGGACTGGATGTCATTTGGGAGGCATCAACCCTAAACTCGTTTCGGGGAGCATAAATAAAGGATGTGATTGGCCGTCACTAGAGTGAGCCAAACTGAATTCGGACTCTGGCATAATGTGAGTCTCCGTGGTGATTCCCGAGGAGATTTTCAGGTTTGGTGACCCAGCTCAGGACGACGTTCAGATCCAATTGGCTCTGTTCGCGGGTGACGAATGGGGTTCGAGAAAAAGCGTCTATTTACGTCCAATAAGATAGGGCTTTCGTGGCCTCGAACACGCCACGTGTTTGAGTAGTGCCCAGTGTCGCTTGATGAGTAGTCTACGAATCTCCAACCGGTGTGCACTAGCCATGATAACACTACCGTTTAGTACAGAACTCGTAAGCGTACAAGAAGTTCTAAACGTATTTTCTGCCTAAGATATGGTGAGTAGGGTGTCACCAAGCAAAATATGTTAACTATTTTTGTAGTAAAATATCACATAATGTGCACCAGAAATTATTTAAACAATTTATTTCACTATATATGATCCAGAGAACTAAATGTAAAGAAAACTTTCCACGCTTCATTTTGCCTTTGAATACTTGTGTGTTGTCCTTTTCGCTTTCCACGGATGTAGTTTAACGGGTTCACAGGGGCTTTCCAAGAAACTGCATCACTCACCACCCCACCGACTGTTCGGTCTGCGACTGAATGGGAGTGTCATTTCACCGACGTGCGTGCGTGCGACTCTCTTCCGTCGCCCACCGCCGGCGAACTCACGCTGTCAGAACTCACGAAGCCGAAGCCTCAAACCGCGGGTTCACCGAGCCATTTGCTTCGGCCCCCTCCAATCTTGTGTGATTCTCAGGCTCACTCTGCCCGTATCTCCCGTCTTTTCACTGTTCGTCATGTCGCTACTCTTTCGCCGTGCTTTTCGCGAAACGCACCTCGCCCGTCGCTAACATTTTCGCCAGCTCGTCGATTTTCCTCCATTTTCTGCATCCGCGCGGCAGAGACCAGTAAGGAGGGGCTGGGCGCTCCCTAGTCCGTTCTGCCCCGAGCCGAAATCTCGGTTCCCGAACCTTCGTCAGTACTCTGTGTTTCCCACACTTCCCATCACTCCATACCTCCCAAACCATACTCGCCCACTACATCCCAAACGAACCTAGCCTCGCGCCATACCACGTAGTTAGCCTCGTTCCGTACCCTTACCGAACTTCACCGCTTCGTCACCTTTCCAAACCTCACCATCGCCTTTCCACCTCCTTCACTTCGTTTGAGTCATCGGCGACTCGATGTCGACTCAACCTTCAACCAGCGCGCCCCAAACCAACCCAAGCAAAGCCGTCGTCTTTCCGTCCACGTTGTCGGTCGCCCAGTTGTTTGTTACGAGCGCTGAAATTCGCACGCAGCGTAGATTTCGGGTCGGAAGATAGGTCATCGTGAGTCGTCAGCGAAGACTAGGAACTTGCTGAGCCACAATAGTCTTTCCAGCGCAACGTTTCGCAGAATACCGTCGCAAGCGAAGACCGTCTCCCAGCAAAGAACGTCTCTATTCTTGGCACCGTTCCCGACTCGGAGTGAAATCGCCCAATCGTGAACATTTTCCCGCGGCTACTAGCCCCGCCTTCGCCCAGAAAAACAGCAACGGAAGGAGATTGACCCAGAAGCAGCAGGGGATTCGAGGCGTCTCACAACATCTCCAACCATCTCCAACCATCTCCAACCATCTCAAACCATCTCAAACCATCTCAGACCGCATCAGACCGCCTCAGGCCATCTCTGACAGTATGGGGTACGACGAGGAGCTCGGGGGCGCGGCGGCACCGGCGGGGGCGGACGCAACAATGGCGGACGTGGAGTCCCCGACGGCGGCCAAGGCGAAGTTCATTGAGGTCCGTCCCGTCCCGTGCCGTGCCGTCCCGTGCCGTGCCCCGCCGTGCCGTGCCGTGCCGTGCTGTGCTGTCTTGCGTGCCGTGCCGTGCCGTGACGTGTCGTTCCGTGTCGTGCCGTGCCGCGCCGTGCCGTCTTGCGTTCCGTTCCGTGCGCTGTGTTTGAGTCAGCGGGGAAACACTCGACATACAGGTGTGGTTCCATGCGGGCGGCCAAGGCGAAGCTAAAAAAGGCGCGCCTCGTGTCGTGCCGTGTCGTGTCGTGTCGTGCCGTGCCGTGCAGTCTTGCGTTCCGTGCCGTGCGGGGGAACAGTCTCCAACGGCAGCCCAGGCGAGGCTCAAAGAGGCGCGCCTCGTGACGTGCGTTGTGCTGTCACGTGTTTCCGCAAAGGCTCTCCAAACTTAGTAGTCTCTCCAAACTTAGTAGTCTCTCCAAACTTAGTAGTCTCTCCAAACTTAGTAGTCTCTCCAAACTTACTTCTGCTGAGTCGACTTAGTAGTCTTTGTCGTGCCCTGCGCTGCACCTTGTTCCCAGGAGAACTTACCAAGCGCCACGTGTTGTGATGCTCCCCACGTGTCGTGATGCTCCCCACGTGTCATGACGTTTCATTTCCGCGCCTCCTCATCCCACAGGGCCGAGATACTCTTGTTCCAACCGTGAGACCGGTGTTCGAGTCGCCGTTTTGATGAAGCTTCGAGGCTGGTAGTAGTCGACGCCTTCCGTGTCTCACTCTGCGTATCCCTTTCCTCCCCACCTGCCTTATCCTTTCTTCCTTCTTCCTTCCCCTACCTTCTCCCCCCTCCTTCCCCCTTCCCGACCCATTCCCGCCTAACCCTTCCCCCGTTCTCTCCCCCCCTTTCCCAGGCGTCCGCAGCAGACCTAACGAAAGCGCAGCTGAAGGCGGATGCCAGCAGGGACAAGGGTGCGAGGAAGAGCGGAGGGAAGGGCGCGAGCGCGCGGCGGCGAAACTGCGGGTGGTGCGACGTAGCGGCGTGGACGGGGCTCTTTGTATCGCTGGCGCTCGTTGGATTCGGCGTGGCTATTCTCATCCTCGCTCTCACGTTCAGCACCGAGGTCAGCTCTCCCGCTTCACTCGCGTGGACGGGCCTCTGACCTTTGAGTCGACTCAAAAGTCGGATATGGCGTTCGACACTCACTCGCTTGGATGGGCGTCTCCCCTCTCCTTCGGGTGGTGCGACGTTGCCACGTGGACAGGCCTCTTCGTATCTCCGGTGCTTATTGGGCTCGGATTGGCGGTTCTCCTTCTCGCTCTCACGTTCTAACACCGAGCTAGCTCTCCAAGAAGGATGCATTCCCGTGCACTAGGCGGAAAATACAGCTCATTGCTGACTGTGCTTCATTTGGATTCCGCTGCTGTGCTTCCTCCACATGCCTTCCTCCCCCACCCACCCCATGTCTCCATGCACCTTACCATTCCGTTTCTGCTCACCAGCCTTGTCCGCAGTCACATCTTCCATCCCTCTTGCCGTCCCACCCCCTCTTTTCTCCTCCCATCCTCTTTCCCTCGTGGAGGACACATCAGCGTTTTGAGAGATTTGCATAACAGTCCCCTCTTGCTCTGTTGAGATGGTCTCCCCTCTATCCCACCCTCCCCACGCCCCTCGTAAAAGTAGGTTTATTTTGAGACGTCTCAAGATAAACTCCATGCTTTATTGACACGGCCGCCCCTCAATCCCACCCTCCCAACCACCCTCCTCCCTCCTTTCCCTCCCTCTTGTTCGCCGCAGGACCCAAAGTTTGAAATCCTCAAGGCGGATCTCATGCAGATTATTTTAGGATTCTCAAATGTGACTCCCCTTCTCCTCCTCCTCCTTCCCCCCAGAAAGCCCATTATCTGCACCTCAGGACCCAAAGTTAGAAATCCTCAAGGCGGATCTCATGCAGATTATTTTAGGATTCTCAAATGTGACTCCCCTTCTCCTCCTCCTCCTTCCCCCCAGAAAGCCCATTATCTGCACCTCAGGACCCAAAGTTAGAAATCCTCAAGGCGGATCTCACGCAGATTATTTTAGGATTCTCAAATGTGACTCCCCTTCTCCTCCTCCTCCTTCCCCCCAGAAAGCCCATTATCTGCACCTCAGGACCCAAAGTTAGAAATCCTCAAGGCGGATCTCATGCAGATTATTTTAGGATTCTCAAATGTGACTCCCCTTCTCCTCCTCCTCCTTCCCCCCAGAAAGCCCATTATCTGCACCTCAGGACCCAAAGTTTGAGATCCTCAAGGCGGATCTCATGCAGATTATTTTAGGATTCTCAAATGTGACTCCCCTTCTCCTCCTCCTCCTTCCCCCCAGAAAGCCCATTATCTGCACCTCAGGACCCCAAGTTTGAGATCCCATCCTCTCCATTCCACCCCTCCTCCCCATTATCTGCACCTCAGGACCCCAAGTTTGAAATCCTCAAGGTGGATCTGACACAGCTGGACCTTGGGACGTCCGGCAACCTTCTGTTTGACTTCAACAACTTCAAGATAAAGGCGAACGGGATGGCGGACGTGAAGGCGCTGGTGGTTAACCCTAACAACCACGAGGTCATTGTGGAGATGCTCAATGTCAACCTGAAGCTCTTCAATGTCAACATCGCCAACACCTCGGTACGCGCTGGATTTTTTTCGAGTGGTACGTCCTTGAACGCTATAGCATTGGTGGTTAACCCCAACAACCATGACGACATAGTGGAGACGCTGAATGTCGATCTGACGCTGTTCAATGTCGACATTGCCATCACTTCGGTGAGATATGGATTGCAGGGAGAGTGGTTGTACAGTGATTTGACTGCCTAAGCCCCTCATCAATAGATTAACTACACTGAGTGCAAATGGCAGTGAACTGCTCAATGAGGGTGCACTTTTCCTCCTATTCGTTAATCCGCAACCACTAACATATGTTCCACACTTAATGCGTGCCGCCGATTCCCATTTCATCCAGGTGCCGGGTTTCGAGCTGTCCAAGAAGGGAAACACTACACTGAGCATTCCGTTTCCCATAAAGAATCTTCCACTTCTTGCTACGGGCAACAAGGACAACCTCATTACAACCTCGCTCCGAAAGGGTCAAGTGGATGTCAAGGTGAGATACGGAAACATGTGGGTGGCTCGTTTGACATTGCGTATGCTTGTTCACAAGGCGTGCTTCGCTGCATCGCCTTATTCATCGTTCCATGATTATCGGTCCATGCTTGTGCAACAGCTCAATATAAACTCCAGAGGCAAGGTGAAGATTATGGGAATGACAACACCATCATACAATGTGAGTACCGGAACCGCAAGTTCTCGGCCTTCTTCATGATACTTGTATTAGTTTTGTTCTCATTTTTTCTTCCATCGTCCACTGACTTGGGTTGCAGCTCCTTATTGCGTGCAATATCACTGTCGACCCATTTGGAGGGAACCAACTCTTTCGGCAAAAGTGCTTTAAGACAAGGTCGAAAGCCTAACGATAGAAAGACCAACTTCGTTTGCATGAGCATGTCATGTGCGTTGAAGTTTAGTGCCTATATTTAATGCGTGAATATCAATTAGTATGGACAAATCACATTGGGTAGCTTGTATGATGGTTCTTACAAGATATATACAAGCGGTTTAAATCATTTCACCATCTCACGAATCTCGTGATTCCTCCACCCGCTGTACATGCAAACGCACTGCGTAAACGTTTGAAATGTCGGTGTAACTGCACGATCAGTCGCGCCCTTCCTAGCCCCAGCGCGGCTGACAACCTCCGAATCGCGTTGCCTGCCAGACCTACGTAGGTTGTGGTAGCAGGCGCTCCGGCTCCAGCTGTGGTCCTCGTTCCCCCGCCAAATCCATGGAACAAATATCGAGGCGTTTCGCGATCCATCAGTTGTTCGTCTGGTCTCTTGTTCACTGGCGGAAATGTTCGCATCCAATCGAATGTTCTGGTTGGGTCGGTAGGCCGGTCGCAGCTCTCGACCACCGCCATCCGACATAATCGGGCCATCGAGTTTACCCAGAGTCATCGGGCATCGGGTACCACCACTTCTGTCCTTTCTGGGGGAATCCACTTCCCCAATCATCAGAATCCAGCTGTCGCACATCGCTAGGGAACCGTTAAGAGTGTTACCACCATTCATGCGAGGGCTTGAGCGTCAGCTCGCTAGTGTTACCCCTCTCTCCGTGCGACAGCTTGCCTCCATCCTCCTCACCTTGCTGTTGGTTGGGAGGTGAGGGGCCGGCCACAAGCATCACCTACTTATTTACAGTAGTACTTCAGTCTACTGAATCCTGAAGTACCATTCAGTAGTTGCTTTGAGCCAGCAACTCCCTAGTCGCAAGAACCATTATCAATGCCTTGATCTTAGGCTTGTTGGCAACATAGTCGGCGTATCGGATAAGCCGTAGTCAGAATTCGGTCCCCTGAAACTGATCCTCTAATAACCAAACAGCGCTTGAACTGCTGTGTTCGCAGCTCGTAAAATATCATCAGCTTGTTCGCTTCCGCCTCCCAGACAGCATTCCGCTGTCTCGTCAATAGTCTACATTCCAACCTGCTGACTTTTGAGTCGACTCAAGAGTCACCTTGTCTCGTCCCTAGTCTTCATTCCAACCTGCTTCTGCAACCGAACCTCCTCCTCAGCAGGGCACATTTGTTCCCAAGAACTAGCGACTTGACCAGCGTATTTTCCGTAGATTGAGCTGCGCGTTTTCCGCAGCATCCGCGAGTTGGAGATATTATGGGCAAAGGTGATTTTCACCCTATCAGAAGCAATTCAGCCCGCGTGGACCAGGAGGAGAAGTACACGGACATCACGAACGACCTCGAGCAGCCATATGTACGTGAATAACGTTTGCGATGTATTTGAAATGTTTCAAGTTCTGGGTAAGTGGACCAGGAGGAGAAGTACTCGGGCATCACGAGAAGCACGTACGACCTCGAGCAGCCTTACGTACGTTTATCCACGGGATTACCGTTTGCGTAGAACCCGTGCGTTACGAGTCTATTTTTGAGTAACGAGCCTACTGTCTGCGTAGAAGCACGTCTCAGCTTCGCAGCCTTATGTCATCGACGTGCTTTGTGACTGTGTAGAAGCTCGTCTGTGCATAGCAGCGGTGCGTCATCCACGGGCTTACTGTCCGCGTAGAAGCACGTCTCTGCTTCGCAACCTTGTGTGTCATCGACGTGTCGCGTCTCGCATGGCCATTATCCACGTTACTCTTTGTGTCCTGTGGTACTCCTCTTCTCTCCTTTAGTCACTCGTATCGCATTGTAATTATGCCGTCGCTCAATCTCGTCGCACGTCGCTCTCTCATTGTTTGAACTGACCGCTCTGTTGTCATCCTAGCAACACGTGGCGGAAGCAGAGACGTTGGATGCCTTGGACACGGATCAGGCGGATGATTCTATATTCGCTCATGACGTTCCCCCCCTTCCTGCCTGTGTTTTCTATAGCAGAAGGGAGGTGACTTTTGAGTGGACTCAAAAGTCACCTCGTTCCCCCCTTCCCTCGTGTGTTTTCTATAGCAGAAGGAGCAATACATGGCGGACGCAGAGGCCTTCGATGTCGTTGAATTGGTTCAGGCGGATTTTTCTGTATTTGCTTGTAAACATCTCCTCCCTTCCCCCCTTCCTGCCTGTGTTTTCTCTTGCAGAAGGAGCAATACATGGCGGACACAGAGGCCTTCGATGCCTTCGAGATGGATCAGGCGGCGAAGCAGCAGCAGAAGCGCGGTTGCTGCACGTGGCAAAACATCCTCATCACGTGCGGGCTCCTCTTCTCACTCCTCTTGACCATCGTCGGAATCGCCATACTCGTTGTCGCGTGCACCTTTAAGCCCGAGGTGAGCCTAGCACCCACCAGCAGCATCAGCAGCAGCAGAAGCGCGGTTGCTGCACGTGGCAGACTGTCGCGATAACATGCGAGCTCCTCTTCTCACTCCTCTTGACCATCGTCGGAATCTCCATCCTCGTTGTTGCGTGCACCTTTAAGCCCTTGGTGAATGTATGACGGACCTCCGAAAATTACCCCTCTACTTCAATTCAAGAATTGGGCCGTTTCGAAACAGCTGAGGCAACTTGGCAGTTAATGCGATGGGCTGGGCGACAAGATCGCTGTGCCCGAAACAAGGTAGTGATGTTTCCTGCACGAATCAATATTTCAGATTTTGCGAAGGAAAATTAACAACGGATAAGACCGCACAATTTACCAGTTGGGCCCAAAATCAAGTGGGGGGTCTAGCTCCCTATGTCAATCCCTGCTTTCCCTCCTCTGCCTGTCGGTCTGTCTGTCTGCCTGTCTGTCACACCCCTTTCCCTCACCCCTCCCACTCTTCTCCTCCCCTCCCCCCTCTCCCTTTCTTTCCCCCCTCCAGTCTCCCGTGATCCGGATTGAAAAGATCGACATCGTACGGCTAAGCTTCAACGGAACTGGCACCAACAGTGACCTAACCACTAGTCTTGGCGGGCTGGGAGCTAGTATCGGGGATGCCCTGGGGAGACCCTTGGGGGGAGCGCTGGAGAATCTGGGGAGCAGTCTCGGAAGCCTGCTGGCAGACCCGAGCAATTTCACCCTCAATATGAACGCGCTCATTAACGTTACGGCGAATGTGTACAATCCGAACAAATACGATTTCCAAGTGAAGTACCTGGACCTGTTCGTCTCCCTCTTCAATATGAGCGTCTCCAATGTCTCGGTAAGCAAAGCTTATCTTTCTGATTGTACTTACATATATGTCCCTACATACGTATTTCCCACTATCCGGACATGTTCGTGTCGCTCTTCAATATGAGCGTTTCCAATGTCTCGGTAAGTAAAGCTTGCCTTTTCTGGTTGTACTTATACATGTATGTCCCTTTTCTGCTTACATTGAATTTGCTCCTCTCCCTTGTGTTATTGTGTGCCCCTTCCATCCACCCCTTGTTCAGCTGCGCGAATTCTGGTCCCCCAGCCATCAAAACATCCACCTCACTCTCCCCATATAGTCGCTCACCGCACTCTAGCTAATCCCTGCTCCCTTTCCCCCCTCTCATGCCCCGTCCATCCACCCCTTGTTCAGCTGGGCGAGTTCTGGTCCCCCAGCAAGCAGAACATCAGCCTCACTCTCCCCATGAAGATTGTCAACGTGCCCCTGGTGTCTCTCAGCAGTGACAGCGTCATTGGCAGCTCTCTCCTGGCGCAGAAGCTCAAGATGAAGGTGGGTCCAGTGTGCCAGGTAACTCCTCTCATTCTGTGCTTGGTACACGCACCCTTGGTCGCTTAGCAGTGACAGCATCATTGGCAGCTCCCTCATGGTGCAGAAACTCAAGGTGAAGGTAAGTTTGGAGTTGCAGACCTCACATTCATCGGTAGAGTCCCCGCGTCCTTATTATGCCTGTTACTTATCTTTGAGCTGCATTGGCATCTGTTATTTATATTTTTAACATACATTCTTTGTTCTTGACCATACTTCTCAGATTCTTGGTATCTCTGAAGGGAAAGCTCAATTCTGGACGTTCTCCTCTCCGACCTATAAGGTATGTCGAAGTGCCCGGCTGCATATTGACCTTGGTCTGAGTATGTAGATTCTTGGTTACGTTTTGCTTATGTGGTGCCCATTTTTCCATGCAGGTTGGTGTTGATTGCAATGCAACAGTGAGCCCCGCCGCAGGCAAGAACACGGTCACAAAGGAATGTACTAGCAGGTCCGAAAAGGTATGAGGTGGCTGGCAGCCAAAGAGTACATGTGTTGTCTTTCGAAAAAGCCACCTCCATAAATGCTTGGAAAATCGTATGATCAATAAATCATGTATAAATTGCTGTATTTTGATGGTTCCACTTGAAGTCTTGTAGTTGCTAGACGTGCATACTTTATGGATCGCCTATCCCCGCACCTATGGAATCTGTCGGTGAGTCGCAGTGCGTTTGGCCGTCTCTGCACACAACCTCCACTGCGCTGCCACCCCAACATCCCACTTCAAAGCTTGGCAAACTAGACTCCGAACCTCTCTTCAACAGTTCAAGCCTCGCCGAGCCGAGCCGCCGGCGGCCTTCATCACTTTCCTTGTCATTTCCCCCACATTAGAGGGTTATTCACCGCACAGAACCGAACTGAACTACTGACTGTACTCTCTCTAGGCACAGCTGGCATGCCAAGGAACCAATAGGCAAACCGAACGTCGTTCGGTTCGGTCGGTTCGGTAGAAGGGGTGAAGCAACGTGCCACAAACAACTGTAGCTCCCTCGAAGAGGGGCCCTCACTCCCGAGCTTGTTCGCACAAGTGTACTGTACACTGTAAAAGCACCACCACCATGCCTAGGCGCCCCCGCCTCTACCGTACCGAGCCCCCAACCTCCCCGCCCCCCTCCCTAACGTCCCATTGCACCTCACAACACCAGCCGGGTTACCGAGTTTCCGAGTTACTTTTTCGGCCCTACTCTACGAAAGGGGTGCGAGTTGTCGTTAGTCGTGAGTCGTCGTGACCACCCAAGATTTGCCCATTGTGTATCTTCCGGGCTGCCCTACCTGTTCTTTTACGAACCGCGCCGCGTCATCGTGTAACTCTCCCTCCCCAGGCTTGACTTGAGGCGAGGTTGCGCAAACCCGCTGCTTTCTGCAGAGCAGCCCATCTCCTCGCCACCCCTAGG